CCTGCAGTCTTGTGTGCAATGTATCAAGTGACAGTGATCTGACACTGCACTTGCTGGGGGAGAGGGGGGGGGTAGAGTGTAGGGGCTAAACGCAGGTGCTGGTAAGTGTCGGGCTGATCTTGCTGACGCTGCATTCTTGGGGACACTATACTACTGTCAACGCTGGTATAGTTCTGATCTGATCAGATATTGATCCGTTCAGACACTATATTAGCAATAGAGGTTTACTGTGTATGTGCGCATGTTCCTGGTAATCAGAGGGTTAAATGTGATGACTGATGTATTGACGGGCAATCTGACGCTATCTGGGAGGGACCGCTAACGCTAGCTGAAGTCACCTGTGACACTAATACAGCTTTAAGTAAAAAAAAAAAAACTGCACGCTGTACTAATGACACTGGTCACAGAGCAGTGAAGGGGTTAACTGGGGGGGGCGATCAGGGGGTTAAGTGTGCCCTAGCTATCCTTTTACTGTAAGGTGTAGTGCTTTTGACGCACATGGACCTGCTTTCTTCTCATTCTGAAATGGAATGTGCCCCAGGGAAAGATTACACAGGCAGAGGAATACCTTTGATAGGGCAGTGATCAGCCAGCCAATCCAGGCCGAACATAACTGGCCTTAATCTGCTGACAGGTGCTGCACCGAATCACAGCACCACCAGGTCGGCAGGCGCGCACCCCCTACCTGCGAACACGGCAGGAACACGGATCACGTATATATGCACACGTGCTTTTGCACAGGGAGTCCGCCCTTTAGTAGTGATCCTGAAATAGGGCGGATGGCAACTAGTTATTCAAAAGCAAACTCACTCATGTCTCTAGGATTTTTTTTGTTGGGAGATCACTATGAAAGCCCCCCCCCCACCCATTTCCAGCCATGGCCACAAGTTAAAAATAAAATGTAAATTCCTATTTATGAAGTATAGCAGCAGAAGGTAAAGAGAGTTTATGGCAGTTGAGATACTTTAGTTCTACTTTAATGCTTCATGCATACCTCACCCAACTTTTTGGAATGCAATGGATAATAAAGCCCAACTCCTGTCCGAAAAAAAAAAAAAAAGTACTCTCTTGCCGTGGTGTTGTACCCACACTGGCACTGCAAGGGTTAATGGCTCATTTTTGTCTAGGAAATTGAAGGGAAATACTTACCTGATCCTTCCCGCACAAGACCGCTCCCCGAGTCCCCCCTCCCCCCCCAGACTAGTGTTATTGTGCGGTGGACTGTTCCTGAGGTCATCCTGTCCATATACCAACTTTGGATGTGAAGGCATCCGGAAGAGTCCACTGCTGGTTCGTGGGGGGGAGTGCCATTTGCTACTGCAGCAAATTATTGGGTGAGCATAAGCTTTCTGGTCGCTCCTAGACAAAATGAGCATTTAATCCATGCAGTGTGGGCACAGCCCCACTGCATGGGAACACTTTTTGCCTGGAGTTGGGTTTTAAAAAACAAAACTCACTAACTAATTTAGATTTCTGTACAATTCTACCTAAACCTAAAATAGATTTTAACCAGTAGCCAGCTGCCTTTGATTTTCACTCAACAGGCAGGCTCATATCCTGGAAATCCAGTTTAAAATCCAAGTGAAAACTGCTCTGTGCAGCATTTTTCTGTGAGCCCGGAGTGGCTTAATGACACCTCCAAGGCAGACCCCAAATGCCCTAGAAGAGATGCATGCAAGATCAAGAGCAGCAAGTTGCCTATCATACAAATCAGAAAAAAAAAAAAAAAACACAAATTTATGTTTATGACTTGCACACAAATAAAATCCTAAGCGCACGCACACACACCTTGAATTCCTATTGGCCAAGGCCCGGGACATGAAGTTCCGGGCATTGGGCAGGTAGTTTTGTTTTTACCTTTAGTCCTGCTGCGGGCAACAGCAGGGCTCACCTGTCAAGTGAAAACATTCGGCCGAATGCTTCCACACAGTGCTAGCCTCTTCCGTGTGAACCTCCCCCTGCCCACTGTCTCCCGAGCTCCGCTTGCCCATCTGCGGGCCCAGGACCGGCTCTCCACCATTGACTAGAGGGAAGGAAGGAGAGCGGACACATCCGTGCCCTCCCCTTTTCCCGACTCGGCAGTGATGTTATGTCACTTCCAGGTCCACGTTGAGATTTCTGGCCATGGAAGCCGGGATAAAAAGTAATGTGGTGCGATGTGTACCGCACTACATTCAGTGGAGCACAGGGGAGACATGCAGGGTCTTTTCGACCTTGGGTGTCTCAAAGAGAACCTGTCACCAAGAACTTTGTTCCCTTGTGATGAAAAAAAAATTTAAGTTAAAAAAGTAGTTTATTTTTTGTTTTATTTTTTTTAATTGTAAAAAATTAAAGTTACAACTAAGCACATAACATCCCCCGCCCCAAAAACAATTGAGGCCCCGCACCCCAACATATATGCACGTAAAAGCACACGCTGGGGTGCCTATGCATGAAAACATTGATAGCGATACACGTCACATCGCCAAGCACGCCAGAATGAGAGCAATAATACTAGCACCAGACCTCCTCCGTACACTATATTGATGACCTATGAGAAGCTTTAAAAGTGCACCTATAGAAATTATAAGGTACTAAAGTTCGTCACCATTTCATGAGCGCACGCAAATTCAAGGTTTGATATGTTGGATATCTATTTACTCGCTGCAACCTCATCTTTTATATTTTACAAAAAAAATAGGTTAATTTATTGCTCTTTTTTGTGCCCTAAAATTAACTAATTTTGTGGTAATAACACGCGACATAAAAAATTGAAATTACCACTATTTTATTCTCTAGGGTCTCTGCTTTCAGAATATAGATCATGTTTTTGGTGGTTTTGTGTAATCTTCAGGCCTAAAATTAGGTTTTTAAACTTGTGCAAAAAAACACAAAAACGGCTCTGGCAATCCTAAAATCGCCTCAGATTTAAATACGGTTTTGGTTAAAAAAAAAAAAAAAAAAAATTTAATCTGGACAAGTAGATTGTCATGAGGGACAAGTAGATTGAGACACCAATTTAGTCCCTGGACAGGTAGTTTTTTTCAAACATTTCTGCACCCCTGCACCACTTGTCCCACTGCGACTATTGCCCTCAGTTTTTTTTAGCAACTTTTATAGTATAGTATAATCCACATTTTTGCTTAAAATTTGCAAAGACCAGTTTTATAAGAAATAGCAATCATGTTAAAAAAATATTCTGCAAGGGAGCAAGCAATCATCTGATGACCCAGACTTATAACCCAGGATTTAGCTTGCAACGATCAGAAAAAACAAAATTAACCTTAGCAAATTAGAAAATTAAAACTTAATAAAAATTGTGGCTAGCCCTAATGTTACTATGAATCATTCACAGATGAACAAAAAAAATGTACATTAGTAAAATAAAATAGGTGGTGAGAAGTCAAGCTTTCAATTTGTCTTAAAATTTGCAAAGACAGTTCTGTCATTATGCGCCCAGCTTCTTCAGACCTTCATAGTACCATATACAATGCAATGTGAAAAGCTTCCAGCTGAGCCTTATTAATGTTGACATCTGAATTTTTTCAGCGTATAATATCTGCTTTAATAACTGCCATGCACGTCATGTGTTATGTTGTATGGCATCTAGGGCACATTAACACAGCCTCTGTTAGCCAACAATTCAGCATCTCTGGGAATGAAAAAAAAATATGCAACAATGCTGAGAAGATTCCAAGCTGCAAAACCAGTAATCTCAGGAAGGAAGTAAAGAGTGGAGCTGTCTCCTCATGCCCGGGGTTCAGACTAATAAAAAGAGACTAGATAACTGAAACGGAAGAGGGGGAAAAACAGGAGGGGGGACTGCTCCAGCGACCTTTAGTTCACAGAATATCGTCATGAACCAGTGTCTCCTTCTACATACTATCCTAGCGGGACCAAAGGCAAAGAATGGATCTAATTCCAGCACTTTATCATAATGGTAAGAGCTCATTTTAACAACTCTTCCTTTGCTTCAGTGGTTCTCCTTTTTGACATTATATGCAAATAGCCATTGCATGTTATTTTAATATGCTTATCCTGAACGGTTGCCGAGTATCACATATTTAAAATTGGCAAAGTCGATTTCACATTCTTGAAAGTAATTTCTAATTTAAAAAAATGGGATAAAATGATTCAGCTGCTGCAACAAGGCAAGTAAAAATGCAATAATTGACCTTGTAAGCAAGTTTTAGAGCAGCAGCTTCCTCATGGTATTTTCAGGAGGTACAATTATTAAACAACTTGATTCTATTTAAGTTACCTTCAGTGACTCAAAATGCAACTGACATGTAGACAAGCACAAGATCATCACGTGACCTGCTCAACTTTTTTACAACAGGCACATCTGCAGATGCAGTCAGTCCATAATCTTTTTAGATGCACTCAACAGGATTCCATCGCTATTCTATTACTACACAGAGCCGAAGACAGGGACAGCTTTAAAATTGCTGCGAAATACACTGGGCACTAATGATACTGCACTATATATTTTCCCAGGAATCCATTGAAGATTTATAAAGAATTTAAGGAAAGTGAACACAGAAATATTTCTCCAACTGTTAAAAGGAACCATATAACTGGTAAGCTTCAATTGTTACTTTAATCTTTATTCAAAGCTATAAATATTTGCTTCAATAGTTGAGTACTGTGTAAATGTGCTTCTGATAAAATGTAACCTTGTATGTTAGCTGGATGTTGGTTACTTCATATCAACCTTCAAAAGATCTTGCCCAATTTTTCAGCTTGTTCCTGTTATGAAGTGGTTTCACCATCTAGGGATTATTTTAAACATTATGATGCAGCAGGAGTTAGATGCTGCTTTAATACCGAATAAATCCAGGTCCCTAGATCAAACTGAAGGCTGGTTGACTGGCATATTTTTTCAATTCATACCTACGTAGACTGCCCACTGCTTTTAGTATTGGTAATTTCCACCTTTTATAAATGGCTGGCACAAGGACATTTAATACATCTGACAGATAACATATACAAATATTTGTTGCAGCTTGGAAAGCAGCAAAATGCCATTCTTCGGTTGGATGAAATGGTCAAAGAATGATCCTGACAAGGCCACTCAGTACCCTGGATCAGAAGTTGTAACCAAGACTTTGCTAAGAGAGCTACAGTGGCACCTAGGAGAGCGTGAAAGGTTACTGCACGAGATAGAAAACGAGCAGAGGGTGCAGAAAACAGGAGTGGATTACAACTGGCTGAGAAATGATTACAGCTTGAAGCCAAGCATCCCCGTTACGGAACAAAAGCAGCTGGAAGTTCTATGCTCCCAGATTCAGCCATGCCACACAGGGACAGTGCTCAGCAGGTATATATCTCGGGGGGGACTATTTGCATTGGTAGAGCCGTGGCCTACTATACAATAATATATATATATATATATATATATATATATATATTTTTTTTTTTTTTTTTTTTTTCCCCACAAGTTAATTTAGTAAATCAAGTAAATTAAACAAATTTTCTTTACAGGAAATCTAGATGAATGCAACTGATCTCTCAGAGCAACACTTAAATTTGAGCTTTTTGGTATAGTTTTTTTTTTTTCTTTAAATGCAAAACTCAAGATACGTTTAGAGGGTCCATGCACAATAGGGGCAGAAAAAATGCCAGAACCTCTGTAGAAAAAAGTGGCAAAATGCTCACAGTGGCATGTATTGCACAATAATTTATGCACGTTTATTACCATTTGCTGCCTTTGCTTATTTTTCAAAGTATGAAAAGTCTAAATGCTCCTAAACGCCGTGTTTTTTCTACCCTACCCCCCCCCCCCCCCCCCCCCCCAAAAAAAAAAAAAAACACTTGCAATTGGGTTTTTCAGCCTGAAAACGCTCCATTTCAAATATGCCTCTAAACACCCCAATGTGCATGGACACATAGGCTACCAGTTTCTTTTACACACATGCAAAAAATACAATCAAATTGCCTGTATGAGCAGCATTTTTTATGCCCAGTGTGCATATAAACCGTTTGGAACTCTATCTTTTTTATCAGATATTTCTAAACATGCATACAAACACCACAGAAAAATACACATAGTGGGCATTATCTGCCAAACATTCAAACCCATTGAATTTTTAGACTATTTTGCTAATAAAACCAAGTCTGCCTAGATAGGGGAACATGGTAAAGCAACACCAACCTTTTCTAGGTTGGCTGAGGAGAGTCTTATATTGAAATACAGACAGAGCCAACGCCATCACGGCTTTAATGACTCTGGGATTGCCCTCAGTACCTAGAAAGTACCATACTGCAATAAGTAATAGGGACAGGTGTTGAACTTCAGCGGCATGTCTGTTCCAGGTCATTGATGCACTAGATAGTGAAACCAGCATCAGGGTGACATCCCCATGCCTGCAAAACACACACACAGCAGCTTTCATATTTCTATCTGTAGTTACCCTTGACTTCAGAAATTGGAGGTCAAAAAAACAAACTGGTAACAAAAAGAGTGAGTTTAGTAATGGAAGGAAGGAATGGACAAAATTCCAGGAGACAGATAAGCAAATGCTATTCAAGTGCTTGACATCCAATTCAACCATAAACATTTTTCATGAACACACAATAGAGGGGATGGGGGGTTGGGGGAATAGAATCAGGATCTCTCTGTAGCCTTATTACATAGAAACTGTTGCACATGTACAAGAACATTTCACATAAATCGGCTTGCTGTTTTCCTAAAATTAGCCAAATTAGGATAAGGAGTATGTCTCATCTGCTGAGACCTTTGAAAACTACAGCTGCTGCCTAACATTTATTAATATAATCTTTAAAAACCCATACTGGTCCCTTATTTGAAACGCTTTCAAATTCTACAAGATGTGTCTACATTCTGTATGAGCGCCTCTAGAAAGTGCATAAAGTGTAAAACAGACTTTGTCTGCCTCCAGGTTTCGAGAAGTCCTGGCAGAAAATGATGTACTACCTTGGGAGATTGTCTACATATTCAAACAAGTCTTGAAGGATTTCCTGAATTCCTTAGAGAGAGAAAATCAACAGGTGAAGCTGATCGATTTGTGGAACTCAAACTGCCCTGTCAATTTTGCAGTGTCTGGTGATACAAACTCACACAAAGAGGAAATCCCAACAGTCTCCAGCTACGTCGACAGGAACACACAGAGTTTATTTCCGACTTTCTCAAACCGCATCTGGAACTTACCATACTACTATCCTTCTGGTTAAAATTGGAAAAAGCTTACTCTTAAAAAGGAAAAGAATGAGTGCACTTTCATCCATCCAGGGCTAAAACGTCACCTCGCTCCCTATTGAACCCTATATACACCATTATACAGCAATGGGATTAGACCACGGTTTCCAATGTTGCAGCCTGCATCAGGGATTGCATGTTTGGTTTTAAATGAAGATCTAGCCTATTAAAGATGAACTCCCCATTGAAGTCTGATGGAAAGAGCTGCACGTACATAGTATAACTTCCAAAAGAAGAGGTGGTGTCTACTCCAGGCACTTCCCTATTGAAAGCAATAACCATACGATTTGAGGACTGTGTTTATGCCAAAATTATCACAAGGGTGAGTGGGGGCATTTTAGTCATTGGCACTTGAAAGTTGACTCGTACTTTAAAAATAACATTCTGATTATCCAATTGCTTCCAACCAGAAATAAAAAAACAAACAAACAATCGAGCAGACATTTTTACAAGGGAATGCCACGTGCATTAAGACTCCTATGCATATTTTATAAGTACAAAACCATAACTTAAAAGCAATGCTATTTTTAGTCAGTTCCTGTAGCTATTTTTTAAATAACTGACATATATACATACACAATGTATGACCCTATAGAGAACTTATTTTTTGTACCAGTCAGACCAATGTAATTGTGTATAGTCCATGCTCCTATATTTTATGGAACTATAAAAATATGTACAACAGATGTATTTAAAAGAAATAATAAAATTGCATGAAATAAGCAATGTACTTAAAACGTCATAAATGTATGCAATCTTCAGTGACGGAGGATAACACCACAGGTTTTAAAATACATAAAGTGCAAATCCGACTAAATGATTTTAAGATAGAGTGAAGAAAGATTAAAAATGCTTCCAGTTATATTACTGTGCTGTCCACTCCTTTGTGAGGTGACTCTCCCTAGCAAATATTTAGATTCAACCCCATCCCCACACAATGTATTACAGTTTTTAATCACTTGCAATCAGTTACTACTGACTATATGAAACAAAAGTACTGATCTGATGAGGCAGATTTTCTCAAGGAACTGTACATTTCATTTTGCCTGAAAAAAAAAAAGATGAACTGCATCCCTTTTACAAAAAAGGCTTTATTTAGACTGAGCTGAGAGTTTTTCAGGCGTCAGAGCTTTTTTGAGCAGATTTGCAAATATTACAGGCGTTTTTGCTGTGACCAATAGAAATAGCTGCTGTTTGAGATGGAAAAAAAAAAATTTGCTTAGTCCCATTGTGCAGGCGTTTTCCATTCAAGTATATGGGGACAAAACACTCAGGTCTGCCTGAAAAATGGAGCGATACTTTAGAGAAATAGGTGTTTTGCTACAGGTGAGAGAATGTTCAAGCGTGAACAGGGGCCATTGGAAATAATAGGATTTTACTTGTTGAGCATTTTTCAGCTCGAAGCTCAAAAATGCTCAAGTGTAAAACGTGGTAGAATAGGTTGACAATCCATGCTGCAACCATTACTTTCATTAGAATTCAACATGAAATATTGCCCTCGCTATTTCTCTCGATACGCTGCCAAACCGCTCAAGAGCTGTCCTATAATTGTATATCCACCTAAATATTTATGGGAAAATTAAAAAAAAAAAAAAAAAGTCCCCAGCCTCCCACTTTAGCCCCCTTAAATACATACATCTGTGCTGCTCTAATATCTTAAAGACTTGAATAGGAAATTGCACCTACACACTTTCCAAGGACCATTTTTTTTTTCTCACATAGGTGTGCCTTTCTCAGCATGTAAAAAAGTACCTTAACCACCCAAAAAACTATACATTTCCTTAAACCAGAGAACCTGGAAATCCAAATAACTGTCAAATACATGTCAAACAATATAATCCCCTACACAATGAGACTGACGAGAAAATACCAAATATGACGAGATTAAAAAATTGTGTGCCCCCCCCCCCTCCTGTCAATAGGAGAAACTTTAAAAACTTTTCCGGCTAATCACTTTGAAGTTAATTATAAAAGACAACCTTAACCCAGCCATAGAAGGTTTGAATATCAGCTGGTTCAGCAGGAACCAGCCAAGATCCAAACCATGTATTTTTAGTAGGACCACCACAAGATAGAAATTAAACCACAAAATTGTTGAGCTCAATAAAATCATAGAGCTCAATGGGTGCAGGGGATAATCTTGGTTAGGTTCAATGCCCCCATACTACACAGAAATGTCATGTCTGAGTTATCCTTCATCCACCATGGATAAAACTTTACTACTTCACCCCCACATCAAAATGGACCATCACGGCCAATCTGGAAAATACTAGTTGGCCACCAAAGTTGATCCTCTAAAATTATGAGCAACTCTTAGGTACTGAAGAAAGTATTAACATGACATGAAAGCAAAACAGCACAGCTGTCTTACATATTTAAGAGTAAACTCCATGTCTAAAGTGATGCTACCAAGCCACATATGATTATTAACCGTTTCAATACCGTGTGATTTTACACCTTCCTGCCCAGGCCATTTTTCAGGTTTCAGCGCTCTCACACTTTGAATGACAATTGCGCGGTCATACAACACTGTACCCAAACTAAAATTTTATCATTTTCTTCACACAACTAGAGCTTTCTTTTGGTGGTATTTAATCACCGCTGGGGTTTTTATTTTTTGCTAAATTAACAAAAAAAGACCAAAAATTTTGAAAAAAACACACATTTTTCTTTGTTTGTTATAAAAGTTTACAAATAAATAATTGTTCTTCATAAATTTAGGCCGAGATGTATTCTGCTACATGTCTTTGGTGAAAATAACCCAAATTAGGATGTATTTTTTAGTTTGTAGGAAAGTTATAGAGTTCACAAACTATGGTATAGATCTGAATATTGATCAATCCTGAAGTACTGACAGCCAATCTAATTTCTTGAGGTCCAAGAATGTCAGAATAGTACAGATATCCCCAAATGACCCCTTTTTGCAGAGTAGACAGTCCGACGTACTTCATAAGAGGCATGGCGAGTTTTTTGAAGTTGTATTTTTTTGTCATAATTTTTCGGAAAATGAAAAAATTAAAAAAATTATTTTCACTATTTATTTTTTTTACATACTGTCACCAGTGCAGTACAGCGTCTTCATATAACTGGCATGGCGGTGAACATGGACACTGACTGGTGACAGTATGAAAAAAAAAAAAATATTTTTTTTTTTATTTTTTTATTATATTTAATTTTTTATTACATTTTTTTTAAAGATTTTTTTTTCAAATTTTACTATGACCAAAGTAGTACAATGTTACCATAGTAACATTGTACTACTTTGGGGGAGTGATCAGTATTTTTATTTTTTTTTTTTTTATATACACAGTTTGCTTATAGCAAAGAATTACTTTGCTATAAGCAAGCATTTAGCTGAATGAAATCGATTCATTCAGTTTTTTTTTTTTTTTTTTTTTTTGTGCTTAGCTGTGATTTGGTCACAGCTAATCACATGACATGTGCATGTGACCTGCTGTGACCATTCACAGCTAGGCACTAGTATACAATGGATGGCATCATGAATGAAGCCATCCATTGTATACAACTATCATCTGACCTGCTGTGATTGGTCACAGCAGGTCACATGGTACCAGCTACGGGAGCCGGTACTCGGATCTGTCATCGGCCGTGTCCGAGGTGCACGGCCCGTGACAGATCCCGCTGCTGCGCCGCTCTGCTGTGCCGCAAACTGCGCATGTGCGGGAGCACGCCAAATGGCGTGCACCCGGAATTTAGGAGCGCATTTCAAGCCGCCAAACGGCCATTGGCCGGGCGGCTAATGGTTAAAGGAAAGTAAATTGCTGACCTTTCCTGCTGCCCATGAACTCCTTTTCAATGCCATTAGTAACAGAAAGGCCAGCATGAGAGGAGAGCTATAGGAGGACCAGCAGATTGACAGTCCTCAAAATATAATTTTCGGCGCCGATTACAGCAGGACATAGAGACTTCTCATGGTATACGCAGCACAGGAAATGCAGGGAGATCTGCCAATGTGACACAGATGACAAAAAAAATATTTTTAAGGAAAAATAAACCCTTGGGAAAAGAAAAAGATCTGCGCCCCAGGAGCATTTTTCCATACCGTGCAAGATATGCACAGCACACCTGCACATTATGGCACACTTTCCTGGCAAAGTAGACACCACCAGCATTGCCCTCCTTTTTTGGCAATGTTGAATGGCTGGACAAAGATGATGTAGTTCCTATGCATATGCACGGGAGATATCTCAACCTGGCACAGCATCGTGCTAGGAATGTGGGCAGCTCAGTGTACACTCAGGAGGGCTGATGGGCAGGTAGCATTTATGATAGAAGAGACATAAGTCTACCTCTGACAGCGTTTTCTCAAATTCGTTACTTCCGTTTTAGCCATTCATTACTTTATCCACAATTTAGGCCCCTTTCACTCTAGCGGTCAGATTTGGTTTGCCTGTTTTTCAGGCAGACCCGTTCGTACCCTCCATTCTCCTCTATGCATGCTAGCCTTATATCAAAAGTGAAGCGGCTAGTAAAGTTAAGAATTTTTTTGCACAACAGAATAAAAAGTCTAACGCGATGTTATGTATTGTATTTTCGAACTAAAACTGTGCTGATTAAACGAAAATCTATGATCTAGTATCATACCAGGACATTTTTCGTGCTTGTCCCTTCAAATAATTGCAGACAAAAGCTGTGTACTAACGATCGGATTATCGTACAAGCTCTTCGAAAGTAGTGGTTTTCCGTACGATTTTCTGATCATGTGTACTAGGCTTAAGCAAAGTATTCTATCAATGAATACAAAGCTTCCTTGATTGGCTGAGTCAGAGGCGGGCTGATGATGTCACAACCTTGCTATACATAGCTCTCTCTGAATGGCTGAGTGCCACTGTGATAGACAACTGTGTTCCAGGTATGAGACAGGAAGTCTCAGCTCGCACCTGGAACACAGTGAGGTATGGCGTATGTAGCCGCAGCTACATACAGTTTATACGGCACATCCAGTGGCCTCACT